TCTGTGGTCATTTGCATAGAATAAAATGTGTAAGATGTCTTGATGCAAAAACTTAGAAATGCAAAAATATTTTGAATGTTCAAATTCAGATTTTTCTTTTTGGACAAAAAAGTAATACTTTGCAAAATGCTTGCTGTCTTTAATTATTTTTAGCAGATGCATTTAGGAAAACAATCCTTTTAATTCCATCTTAAATTTATCTTCCAGATGTTTTGTTTAATTCCATCTGATCATAAAACCCTCAGTTAGGGAACAAATTGAAAACATTAGGGTGAAATTAGGAGGCACCAAACTGAAGGTTATAACAGAAAAATAACTTGTAATTTTGTGTGCGTGACATACATACAATTGTTTGTGACCTCATATTGATGTTGTCATCGTGTAGTCTGTGCCTTATCATGCTATTGAATGTGTATATTATCATTTTTGTTCAATTGTTTGAAATTTGAGGGAAAAATTACAAGGTTTTTGAGCCACTGCAAGACTGACAAGTGGATAAATTTGGCTATTTTTCTTTTTTTTTTTCTTTGAGATGTCAATGAAAATGGAAATTTACTTATTTAACTATCTATGATGTGGAAAAGAACTAGACATGAGCTATTTGAAACCGTCAAGTCTGGTGTGTTTTTAAGGGTTGGATAATTTCAGACTTTTTGTGTCAGGGAAGAAACTTTAAAGGTACTCATTGCAAGCTTTGAAATCCAACTTTTAAGAAGTCATCCTGAAATGGATCAAATGTTGCAGTTTGAAATAATCTACTCCTGTAATATTCCAGATATAATGATTTGCAATTCTGAAATGTGGGTATGTATTCAATGTAAGCAAAGCACTTGGCTGAATACACACCTCGTGGAAGCTTATCTGCATACTTTACTCAATAAATCTGAGCATAAATTAAATACCAGCACATCAAAGTTATTGGACTTCCCCATCTCAAAAGTTTCTTTCATTGATGACCAATTATAAGACACTTCAGTTGTTTTTAAAAGTAAACAAACATGGGTGGTATTTGGTAGCCATTCACAAATTTTGCTTGCAAATTCTTAATTTAATGAACAATCAAAATGAACAAAAAAATGTGCAGAATTTGTTTCTCACATCAGGATTTTTTTACGTTTTAATTACATTGCAATAATAAAAACTGTGTCATTTGGATGAATGAAAATGCTTTTTTTTATTGCTTTTGGAAAAGCTGAAAAAAATATATCACTGTTTTATTATTACTGATGGAACACTGCTTAAAACAGTTTTTTTATCAGTACTGGTCCTAATTTCTCTAAAAATCTACATGAAAATTGTTTTAAATCCATTTTAGATGCATCGCAAACCTTGATGATGAGACCTCCATTGCTCTTTCCATTAAGACAATAAATAGAAGCTACACTTTCTTTTAAAATATTGGAACAGTTCAAAATAATGCTGAATCTAATGTTTGTGCACACACAAACTTTATCATGTTTTTCTGGGGGTTTGTTGAAGCAGTGCGGAGGTTTACGTTGAATCTTAACATTCCTGAGTCTTCCTTGTAAAGCTCTGTTTGTTTTAATGGGTTACATACTGAAGGACACTATTTTGAATCAATTCAATGCTTATATCCATCTATAATGTGACATATGCTGTTTGTCATACCTCTGAAAGCAGTGGACTCTGAACTATAATTTAACTCAAAATCAGGTATTTAAAAAAATCATCTTGTACAGATTTCATTATTGCATTGTGCTGTAATCCCTTCACAGGTCGACTGGACAGTTTGCATCAAGTGACACATTGTATATAGGAAAAACATGTAATAATGAAACCACTTTTAAATTTCTTTATGTGAAAATATTTATTGCTAATTTGTTCATAATGTCCATACTCTTCTTTCAGAATAAACCACATGACTGTTTAACTGTTCTGGTGGATGTTTATTATTTCCCATTATTATGTTAATTACTCAAGCTACATTTATGTTTATATTTATATAATTCTAATATATATATATTTTTTGTTATTATTTTTTATTTTTATTTTAATATAAATATAATTTTATATTTATATAATTCTTCACAAATAAGAAAACTTTTCTGATGTTTTCTGTTGCTATGAATACAGAAAATAATTCCTGTCAAGCAGCAAGACCTTTTTTTCTTACTTTGACAACTTTATGAGTTTGTACAATGACTTGGTAACTCAGAAAATTTTACAGTTATTGATCAAAAAGTAGATGAAGCAGTAGCTGAGAGTCTTCCATAGTACATAATCTGATCACGGCATTTCACAATATGTCTTGTTTGTGCAAAATGGTCATTTCAGTGTTTGACTAAAATGAATATGACTTTGTGGTATGGTATGGTATGGTATTGTATGGTATTGTATGGTATGGTATGGTATTGTATGGTATGGTATGGTATGGTAAGGTATGGTATGGTATGGTATGGTATGGTATGGTAAGGTATGGTATGGTAAATGGTACTTTCATTTCTCAATAAAAAATAGTTGTAGTCAAAAACACTGACTTTAAAAACTTGTGGTCAGTAAGAGATTTTCCTAGAAATACTAGGCTTTTATTGATTAGTGCAACTAAACTAAAAATAGTTTTGGGGCTTTATAAAAGATAAGTGTTTACCAAAGTTTTTATTATTACGATTATTATTGGATACTCACAATACTTTTGGGGTTTAATTTTTGAATGTCACAGGTCATAGTTGGTACAAATGGGTTTAGAAAGGTGCTTTTTTATACAGTAAGGTGGGGTTGAGTATCGTTTCAATTAAACATCTCAACATCTAGTTTCTGGTTGGTGTTTGTGGCCAAAATAAAGACAAATACTAGAAAAAAAAAGAAAATCAGCTTCCAGTTTGGTTAGTAAGTACCTCAAAATAACCACTAGATGACAGCATCGACTCATGAAACTAACTAAAGACAGTTTAGTTTCTGTGAATGTAATTTCTATGAATGTGCATAAAGGAATAAGTGCCCAGGGAATCAAGGCATGAATGAACTGCGTTTTTCACTGCAAACTGGTTTTGAGCAAAAAGCTTGAGAACATACATAAAATAAAATAAAAATAGTTTTGGGGCTTTATTTTTCTTCAACATTTGAACTTAGTGCAAGTTTTTCTTTTTAATATATTTATATATTATCATACGAAAATTTGATATGTTTAATTTAATTAGTTTTTGATTAAGTTGGTATATATCTATGGCTTTATTGTAAGGTAATCTTCAGACAGCTACCATCACTGCAAGTGTGTTTTGTTATCTTTCACATCAATTTAAGCAAGTCTTCATTATATATCTGAAAACAACTAAACATGTGGGAAGGTTTGTGTTTAGTGGAAAAAACTTTGGAAAGACGAGTGTATTAAAAGAAAAATCTAAGTTAAACGAAGCAAAACCCACGAGGGTAGCCTTTTCACACTATTACATGTCTTTTTTTTTTCCTGTTTGTTCCATTTACTGTTTTCCACTTCCTTTCACTCTGAAAATATAGGGTAGCAGCTTTGACACACTTCTGAAATCACATTAATAGCAATTCCCAAATGGTAACACTTCTGGGAAAGCCAAGACCTGATTCCACACTCTGAATGAGCATCTTAATGTCATTTTCAGTTAAGTATGTACTGTGTCTTGTTCTCGTGAGTCCCCAGAGGGAGATTTGCAGAAAAATGCACTCTCATGGGCAATGCAGTGATACAGTGTAAACAAGGTTATTATTCATGACAGAAAGTCTCACAAGCTTCAAGATCTGCAACAACCATCTTCCAGCATGCAAGCCATCAGAATATGAAACGTCGCACTAATGAGGTTTGTTTTGAGTGTCATCCTTTAAACTGCCTATATTGCCTCTGGCAATATAATCCATTTATGACAAAATAATATATTTTTCTTTAAAACAGCCTAGATTCTGTTCAAATATATTTAGGCAAAGAAATGATTTGTTATGTTTGTTTTCCCAGCAGGGGGAGCTCAGAGGTCTGGTTTTCCCCAGCGTTAGTTAAAAACAAAGGCCTAAGCCAATCAGAAACCAGCTCAAGGAATTAAATAAGGGCTCTTTGTGGCCATGGCAACAGCTTTACCTCAGTGACAGAGAGAAGGTAAGAAATAAAAAGAGAAGAGGTGGTGGGACTTTGCAAACTTCCCAGAGTAGTTCACTAAATCTCTGCTCCTAGTGCTCTTCTACTGAAACTATCGAATTCACTCAGAGTAAGCCAAAGCAGATGTAGAGTGAGACAAGAGTAATTCAGCAATAAAGCTGCTTATTGGATAAAATATGGAGAGGAATCTACACAGATAAGATGACATTTTGACATATATATTACGGGGATAATGGCTACTGCTGTCTAATCTGAACTGACCGATGACTATAATGTAAATATGAAAAAAAAAAGTAATAATTTAGTAAGAAATGCAGCTACATTGTCATTCAAAAAATGATTTTCCCTCTAAGCTACACTTTTTATTTTTGGCTTTTGGATAGGTTATGGAGCACTTTACGAATAAATGCATTTTCATGCATGTTAAACTCGCACGCTGTATTTATTGGAGCTCGTTTTATTTTTTAACAAACCAATATAATATTTCTTTAGATTTATGCCAAGATCTCAAGGCCATCCTTGTGGGTGTGACTCTCATCAGCGTGTCCCGCCTCTACTTTAACAGCCGGTATTCAATTGGATATATATTTTATAATACTTTACACCCATTGGTCAAAATTTCTGTCAATCTATGTCAAACGGTTTGCGTTCATCGAGTAGCCCCGCCTCCTCACGCTTTCTGAAGGCAGCGGTATTCCTGTGGATTACTTCGTGGTGGAGGAGCCCAAACCTGCCTTAGGTAATTTAGAAGAGTTTTTACGCCGTTAACAGTTTTACGGATGTACTGACGTTTTTTAAAGTTTGTATTTTTCGGCGGTACTCGCGGTTATTCCTACGGAGGTGTGGCGCGACGGGGTTGTCGAGGCGAACCCAGGCTTTGTCACCTCCAGTAACTGACGTGCGTCTCGCTAAGCGAGCAGAGTTTCTTGGCAGTTGGTCAGCGGTTTAAACTGCTCACAGCTAGCCAGCTCTTTCCTTACTGCCACCGTTAAGTCCCACCCTCACCAAGTGCGTGGACGTTGGAGCTGCAGCGGCGAAGTCGAGCTTTTTTTTTTTTTTTTTCCCTCCCCCCTGAACTTAGCCAGCATCCTCGTACACCTGGCTGGCAGCGAAAAATAGCCAGCCGTTGGTCAGTGAAGTTGGGTGACGGCTAACGGAAAACTGCTGGCTTAACGTTCAACGACTGTGTTTTCGTTAAAGGGATACAAACGCTCCACTGGCAGGGAGACGCTGGCTAAAAAGAAGAGGCGAAATAAGAACGAACGAGGAAGACACCGACAAGGAGGCGACTGGCTAGTTTAGCCGGGGAGACACGTAAGTGACTCACAGTTGGTTTTTCAAGAAAGTGGTTCGTTCGACCGTTAACATTTCCGATTCAACTCGCAACGGTTATCCCCGCGGCTCTCGGTTTTTGTGTGACAACACGTAAAGCCTGTGCGCCATACCACAGTACAAGCTAACGACCAGTCGATGGTGGCTCACTAGCTAGCATGATGGCTAACTGAGCTGATGGAGGAAACGCTTCAGTTGCAGCACGTTAGCTGCAACCGTTTTTAAACGGTTACTTGTCAACGAGTTTGGTCAAGTTGGAGTTGTAGTCTGTACAGTAACCTTAACCGGTTATTAGCCGTTATTAGCTTGACTATATGTCTGCTAGCTAGTTTCTCTCAGCCAAGTTGACAAGCCACTTTTTCTGACGATCCAAAGCGTTATTTAACTGAAACAACAGTTGTGTGTTTAGTTTTTTTCAATTATTTATTATTATTAAAAACTTGTATCTATCAGGTCAGCTGTGAGAACTCTGAGTTCCTCAGTCCGAGATAAAGTTGTCTCTCTCAGGGACATGTACACTTCATGCACGTTATTACACTGATTTTTTTTAAAGGCCTGTTTTTGCTAAAAGTTTAATCATTATTGCCCGCCGCCCAAGGCGAAAGGGGATAATGATTACATGTTGGACTGTGTGTGTGTTCCATTTGTCTTGGTTAGCAGAATATCTCACGAACTACTGGACAGAGTTTAATGAAACATTAAAAAAAAGTAAAAACAAGATGTACATCTACAAGTGAAAACATTTTTGATTCAGCCCCATTTAAGATGGCCCCCCACAGCTCATCCACCTTAGCTGACACAAAAATGTTTATAAGTTAGTCAAACTTAGATATTGAGGTAAAGTTTCATGTGGTAGTAGCTGATAGTCATCTTCAAAATGTATTACGAGTGCTAACGTTTCTTGCTTGGTCTTTGCACTTATTATTTACAAGCTCTGACAAAAATGGTGACATCTTGGTCCCTTCTCATTATAAGTCGATGCACATCTGGTTTGACATGCTGACCTGTAGTGGGCATTTATGGTCACGCATTGTATTGAAATAACTAGTCAGTTCTGTTTAAATCAGAAGTTGTTCAACACTGTATACATCAGTGCTCAAACACAAGAATAATCAGCACTTATGTTCAAATACTAATGAGTTTTGTTTTTCCTCTCCATTTTTCTTAAGGTGTATAAAGGTTACCAACAAGCCGCACACAGCCATGAGTTTTCAGATACCAGTGGGATTGACAGAATTGCTCCAGGGCTACACTGTGGAGGTGCTGCGACAAAGGCCGTCAGATCTGGTGGATTTTGCAGTACAGTATTTCACCCGTTTGCGAGACTCCAGAAGTCAAGATGGGTCCAGCACGGATGTCAAGCCAGGAAAGGGAGTGATGTTTGACGGGGAGCCGATGCAAACAGAATCTAACGGAGAAGATGATGAAGATGACGATTCTGACTTTGAACGTGAGTTGATGTTTTAAGATTTTTAGCTATTGTGTGGGTAAAACTGGGACAGAACGTGTGTGTGTTAAGTTTTCAAGTAGGAGATAAGTTTTGAGGTGTAAAGCCTTAGTACAAACTGACATTATTTTTTAGAAGCAGATTACTCTATACAGATTTTTATACCAAGTCTCTTGTCTTTTGTTTTCCATTGTCGTGTTTTGCAGCACTTGGATTGTACATTGTATTTTTGTTCCAAGTTGAACTATCAAGTTTTAAAACTTTTTAAAAATCAACATTAACAGACATTGTAAAGAACATTTTTCTGTGCGAAAATTTCACTTAAAAGAAAGCAGTGAATACTTGTCAAGAGCTGAGTGTTTTAATATAATTTGCAAAGTTTGTTTAATTCAAAGACATTGAAAGAGACATTGAAACTGTCCTCTCAAACCCCAGCCGGTTGAAGCAGATTGGCTCTAGTCTTGAGCCTGGTTTTGCTGGAGGTTTCTTCTTGTTAAAAGGGAGTTTTTCCTTTCCACTGTTGCCTTTGAGCTTGATCAGGATGGGAGACTGCGAGGGAGTGCATTCATTGCAATCTGCTGACTTCTTTAGATAGAGCAATTTTACTGATTTTTTTTCTTTTATTTTTTAATTCACGTGAATGTTTTTGCCCTGAGACGACTTCTGTTGGGACGTGATGCTTATAAATATGCTGAATTGAATTGAAAAGGGTGACCTACCAGTAGTTATATTCACATTTAATAATTTATTTAAAAACATTGATATTTAGTTGTAACTGTCAAAAGGCAGCTGTGCTTTATGTCTAAAAGTATGCAAGGGTCTGTGATGGATATGTTGTACTCTGTGTATGTGCACTGTATGTATTCACAGAATATCTTGTTACCAAAATGTCACTCAACTAAAAGTGTAATGGAAGCATCCTCACAGCAGGTTGTATTTGAACAGCTATGCATCCTCTGGGCTTCAAATCATCTGCGTGCTAAATGTGAAGACTGGTTTAATGTGACCCTAAATTTGTCACAGTGTGTTACTCCTTGTATCACTGATGCCATGTTTCTTGCACATCATTCCCCTGTGTTTGACACACTGGCGGAAGATGTAAGCTGCTTCATAGCTCAGCTCCTGTCTGTTCTGCTAAGAACAGTATGACCTAGATCATTTCAGTTTTCTTAAACCGTAAATGGCAAAGTTAGTAATTTTACTTTTTTTTTTTTTGCTGGAAGAAGTATTACATTTTTGTAGGTTTTTCTAAAATTTAATGATGTGATGGTTTAAAATATTAGTGAAGCATTTTTTTAAGGGTGCACCGATTGCAGTTTTCTGGCCAATCACTGATTTATAAAAAGTCTGACCTGCCGACTCCGATTTTGGCCGATACGATTTTGTTTTATAAGTGACACTGTCAGGCGTTATAAGTTCACAATGCACCTTCAATTTTCTAATCTTATTTAATTGAAAAACATACCCTTGAACAATATCCTAGAAACAATACAAACTTGTTTTAACTGGCCATGAGGTAGTGCTCTGAAATATCAATGACGTTCATAAAATTGTTGTTAAAACAAAAAAAAATCGGCAAAATCGATTTCTCATGCAAGTATCAGCCGATTTCCCAAAATTAAGGAAATCGAGGCACCCCTAGCATTTTTGTAATGTGAACGCTTATGTGCACAGTCAAAATGCTACAAATTGTATTAATTTCTACAAAATTCTGTTTTGTCAAATCATTGTTAAAATCCAAAGTAGTGGAGGAAAGCTGAGACTAGCTGTTTTCAGAATTATATAAAGACATGGTAATTTGTGTTTTTGTCTTTAGAAATTGTTTATCAGCAATGTTCAATACAAGCAATACTTTTTTTTAATGTTTCAAACATATTACCAAATGGAAAGGAAAAAACAAAACTTGTATGTCTTCTAGTTATGGTGTTCAGAGCACTATTTTGTCTTTTTTTGTTGTTGCAAATTTAACATTTAGTTTGACAGTATCATGTCTCACATAAAAGTTTAGTGTCTGCTGCATGCAATGTTGGAAAGACCTGCAGATTGGTACAAGATGGCTATTGGCAAAAGAATGATTCTGTTCTCACACAAGTTGCGTTTGGCTGTTGTCAGACAGCTGTGACCTCAGCTGAGGAACCCCTGTGTATTTCAGTGCACGTGTTCCCATATGCAAAAGTTTCATTCATCAGCTGTCTGTTAGTGTAGTGAATGTCTGCACTTGTGAAAGCCTGTGTCAAAGTACCTGTGTTGTGCTTTTATGTCACACCAGTTCAAATTCCAGCTTGATGACTGCGTGCAGATGGAGTACCTTTGTACATTCTGGTTAACAGTCATTTGCGTATTTCCACACTAAGGGAAGGCAATAAAAATTAGCAATGGTGCAGTTATTCAGGGAGAAGCTTTCGCCCACGTGCTGGAGGTTGCACACATGACTTTCATGACATTACTGTAAATTATCCAAACCATCTTGTGTACACTGCCCCCAGGGCACAGTTGGTTCTGATGGGAACAACACAGGCTTGTATATTGGAATAAATCATGTGCTTTTGCCAGACCACTGTTCTAGCCTACAAGTGGAAGTCCTTTGTAGAAGACAAAAGAAAGTTTTATATTTTAAACTTTAAAAAAGTTAATGTAAAAAGCAAAGGCTGTTCTTAGTGTTTTAGTAAGTGACAGATATTTGTACTGCTCATAATAATTTAGTTCTTTCCAACTTTAAACAGATAACTGATAAACTTCTATTCACATGATGTGATGCTTTATGATAGCAGAAAGCCAAGCATACAAGTCCTACAGAATTATCAAGCAGGGGTGCAGTCGGCCAGCCGATTTCCTTAATTTTGGGAAATTCAATTCAAAAATACTTTATTAATCCCAAAGGGAAATTATTTGTTGTTGTAACTCGTTATCCTCATTTCATTAAGAGATGTTATAGATACTGATGGCTGTAGGCAGGAAGGATCTCTTGTAAAGGTCCATCCCACAGTGGATCCTAAGAAACTGTCTGCAGATGCTGTCTGATCCGTCCACCCAGACTCGGCTGGCCTCTCCGTTCCCCCGGGCTGTAGGACCGCCTGAATGCTGGGCAGAACTCCTCTCAGAGTGATGGCCACTCCTCCCAGCAGTCTGATGGGATCAATCGGCCGATACTTGCATGAGAAAGCGATTTTACCAATTTTACCGATTTTTATTTTTATTTATTTTTTTAGTTTTTTTTTTTTTTAGTTTTAACAACAATTGTCTGAACTTCATTTATATTTCAGATCACTACCTCATGGCCAGTTAAAACAAGTTTGTATTGTTTCTAGGATATTGTTCAAGGGTATATTTTTCAATAAAATAATATTGGAAAATTGAAGGTGCATTGTGACCTTATAACACCTGACAGTGTTGTTTATAAAACAAAATCGGTATCGGACAAAATCGGAATCGGCAGGTCAGACTTTTTTATAAATCGCTGATCGGCCAGAAAACTGATTGGTGCACCCCTACTATGAAGTCTTTTGTTTTGTAATGACATAAATGGCTACTTTTCAGTTGAGGTTCTAAGATAAATGTCATCACAAAATTTTAAGTTATTTGCAAGCTTTAAAGAAAACTCTTTAACTTGATATGTAAATTGTATAGGTATTTACATGTGTTTTACACATAGAAAATAAATGTAGGTCAGTGATGTGAGATTCTTGAAAACTTAAATGTGATGCACTCTTATAGGTTTGAATAGTATATTCCTTAACTTCACTCAAGTGATGTGTTTCTGCCTTTTGTTATGCACTAACTTTTTTTTAATGAGCCATTGTCACATTTTGAATGTAGACCTGAGTAAGAAATATGCTGTTGCAAAAATGTTTTTGTTAAAACAGAATGAGACCACTTTTTGTAGGAGACAAGTTTGAATGCACCTGTAAATTACATTAAATTTGTTGTTAAACAATCCAAACACCTATATTTATATGCACATAAGCAAAATCTCTTGATTACTTTTTTTTTTTTTTTTGAGGCTGCTTCCAGTCATGATGATTCACCAGTGTGCTCATAACCTTTACATTGCACTGCAGGAAGTCAGTATTTATGCGAATGCTGGCTCAATGCCTAATATGCAAATGAACTAGATCGCTAGTTTTCTATGGTTAGTACAGTTTCTGCCTTAAACCATAATGTTGTTTTTTTTTTCACTTTGTTACAGCAGTGTCACCTCACAAGCCTAAGCTGCTTCACAAAAAAGTGATATAGTATGTGACAATGCTGCTAATATGAAAATTAACTTATCTCTGAGTTAAAGTAACTTACAGGAGATGTGATATGCCTCTTGGTCACAAGCTGACAATTTTTTCAGATGTAAATGAATTTAACCCAAAATGAAATATTTGTAACAACCACAACAAACAAGAAACTGTGGCTTTATTCTGCAACTGAAGATGTTTTGCTTCTCATGTGGGGAGCTCTGTAATCTCAAACCTGGTGTGTGTGGAGTTCCAAGCTTCAAACTGCCTGACACTCTGTTATGCAAGCTGTTTTGTTTAATTTTTTTGGGATTTGCCATTTGGATGAATGAGAATCCATACCAGCTTATAACCAAAGCACTCTTTTATAAGCTTCCCGCATGAGATATATCCTTTGCAACTGATTTTACAGGGTGTACAGTGCTTTTCTAGATTGCCCTCATCCTCAGAAATGTCTTCAGTTTTCAGCCAAAAGTCACAACCAAGCACACAGAAGTTTTGTTGGTCCTCTCTTTAAATCTAGACTGCTTTTAGCATTAGTTTAAGCTTAGGTGGACCAAAAAGTTACTTTTTCCCCCCTTTGGTTATAATATACACAAGAGCCTGACAGATATGGACATTTTGGCTATTGCCGATACCGATATTGGGAGGGAAAGCCCACTGCCGATATAATGGCTGAATATTTTTTTTGCTTTATCCACCCCCAAAAATTTTAAGTAAACAGCGAGTGGAGCGGGGCTTGTTTATTTATCGTGGGTGTTGGCAACCATGACGCTAAGC